CAGTGAGCACCCTCCAGCCTGGTGTAAAGTTGACACCTGTAGCTCGAGCCCTGGATGTAGTACCTATGTAAGGAGCCACATATTAACTTCTGAAGAGCTGCATGTGGCTCTGGAGCCATGGTCACCAACCCGTCGATCACGATCGACTGGTCATTTGGGAGGGCTTGACCAGTCCATCGCAAGGCATTCAGGCCCCTCCGCCCATTTCCTCCCACCCCTAAGAAGCCCCACTACCTACCTCCAGTGACAATGGAGGTAGTGCTGGCTTCCTGCAGGGTGGATGAAAGTCCAGCAGCTGCATGCCACTTCCGGGGTTTCCAGAAGTGCACTGCCTGTTCCCCTCTTCCAGGTCTGTGGTGTGCCAGGGACTTGCTGTGTGGCGGGAGGAGGTAGGAGGCCTGGCGGGAGGCGCGTGCCAGAGCTTCCCTCCTCTGTGCGGGAGAGGGGAGGAGTCCCAGTGGGAGGTGCACAAAGGAGCTTCCTTTCCTGGTGGGAGGGGGGGTTGGCCACAAGGGGGCACATGCATGGGCTTCCCTGCTCTGTGGGAGGGGGGGGAGTCAGGCTTGGAGGAGGCGTGTGACAGGGCTTCCCTCCTCTGGGGGGTGGGGAATCCTGGGAGGAGGCTGGTGCAGGGGACTCTTCCCCCACTGACACCTTGCCCCCAGCCAAATAACCCTACCCTAATAAAGGCTCTCCACCCCTACTCTAAGCAATTTACCCATCATGTGCTGAGGTCACTGAGCAGCCTGCACAGCTGTGGTCACCAGCCTGCCCCAGCACCCTGTCCTCTGCCCCAGCACTCTGTACCGCACCTCCACCAGCATAGTGGGGTCCACATTAGTGAGGTTTGGGGGGGTTTGGAGTGGTTTTTTTTTTTGCATCTCACTTATGTGGCCCCAACTGACTTTTCTGTGGGTCAGTGACCCCGACTCAAAACAGCTTCCCTGCCTGTCTCATAAATAATGACAATGCAGAAACGTTTTGTGTTTGCAATAGGATTTTATTTAAAAATGAAGCCTGGCCAACAAACCCCCATCTGGGGCTAAGCCCCCATCTGGCCACAGCATGCGGACACTCCTGCACTTCCCCTTCCCCTAGATCCTACATCTGAACCTATCATACACTGGAACCCCCTGCCTGAGCCCCTCACATGCCCCAACCCAAATTCCTGCACCCTCACATCCACAAGCCTATGGCTTGCTTAGTTCCCCAACCCTACATCTGACCCCAACGTTGCCCAGCCTGGAGTCCCCTCCCCGAGCCAGAATCCCCTTCTCCTGCATCCAGATTTCCTCCCAGAGCTTGCACCTCTCACCCCTTCCCACACCCAAATCCCTCATTCCCACCCCAGAGTCTACACATCCTGTCTCAACCCAGTGAGGGTACGGCTAGACTGCAGGAGTTTTTCAGGATTCCAGAGATAGCCCAGAAAAACTCTTCTGCATCCAGTGTTGCGTTTGTTCTTCTGCTTCTTTTAGTGGAAGAGCAAACATGATCTTTCGGTCACCCCTATATTCCTCTTTCGGTTTTGGAACAAGGGGGCTTCCAAAAGAAGGGTTTTTTTCCTGACATTTGGTCCAGTCTAGACAAGCCAAATGTTGGAAAAACCTCTTCCTACAGAAGACTTGGAAAAAAAGCAGCAGTATAAGGGTTTGGGATAGCAAGTGATGGAGAGGAGGCGAAGAGAGGGCGGGGCTTCAAGGAAGGGGCGGGGCAGTAGATCTTGGCTTGTTCTGTCATTTAAGAAGTGGTCTTGGGTGTAAAAAGGTTGGAGACCACTGCTCTAGAGCCACAGATTGGCCACCGCTGCCTGCCTCCATTCATCTGAAGAAGTGGGCTGTGCCCACAAAAGCTCATGATACATCTACATGTTTTGTTAGTCTTTAAGGTGATGAAGAACTATTCATTGTTTTTGAAATTTGTTCAGTTACAGACTAACATGGCTACCCCTCTGAAACTTCAACGCTGGGGTGTGGGCTGCTTGAGTGACCCTCCGTCACCTTAGTGGGCCACAGCAGCCTGTGGCTCTCTGGAGTTCCACCTGCATCACTGTGGCCTGCCCCACTCCCCCAAGCACCTCTTGAGCACCGGGGCACCAGAGCCCCGCACTTCCCACTCCTCCCCCGCCCTCCCATCACTTTCGAAACAGGCCAGTATGTCAGCTAAAAAGAGGCATTTGCAGCTGTTTCCTTTGCTGCAAATCCTGCTTCTAGTAACTAGCTTCCGTTCTAGCACTTCCCTGGCCTCCGGTGCTGGACTTGTGCTCTGAAGCGGTTGACCTGCACGTGAACGAGCATTGGCTATGCTGCTGTTAAGCCTGGGCACATGCATGGCAGGGAAATGAATGGTGCATGTACATTTGTTGGGTCATGCTAATTGTGAAACCTCTCTTGACTGAAGGGATTGCTTGAGTCACAGGATTCCAGGAAGGGGTAGCAACATTCCTTCCCCGCCCAGTGAAAGGCAGGGCTGCTGTGCCCCTTGGTAGCAAGCAAAAGCTCTCTTGCACAGGGCAATGGATGAGCCATGAGCTAGAATAAGCCCTGGTGCCCTGCCCTGCCCAGCAGTCATGCCGGCAAAATTGGCATTAAATGCATTCCAGTATCTGAGAGGACCGTTTGGGGCAAGGACTCTATTCCGGGGCAGCTCTGCTTATCTCAGCCCGAGCTGCATGCTCCATGCCTACCAGAGGAACACCAGCTGAGAGAGGGATGCAATTCCTAAATTGAGCTCTTTCCTCATTCGGGACTTTCGTGTGTGCAATTTCTCCAATGAGTGTCTGGTGTGCTCATGCTGTGTGAGTCTGTGGGAAGCACACGGCCCCATTCTGACAGAATGCTTTACAGGAGCTGGGTGATGTGCCAGACTGATGTGCAAAGCCAGAACCGGATGCATTGAAAGCCAGTCTACTAATCCAGACATTGGCTAGGAAAGGGGGCTAAGCTCCCACCTACACTAATGCTTTGAGGACCCAGGATTGAGGGGCCCCAATGCCTTTGGCTTCTCCTTAACAGACCAGAGGGCAGCACTGCAACGCTGAAGCTGCGTCATGCTATGGGGCTGAGGCTCAATCCTCTGGGACTAACAGACAATTGGTGCCTTACTTAACAAGTAGAGTCATGATACGCGAGGGTTGGGTGAGGGGGAGTGTGGGAATCTTTCTGCTGAGCCATTATGACCGCATTAGACTAGCCACCCGCTCTGTTCTGCCCAACCTCCTTTACAAGTCCCTTCCTGCAGCTTACCTGTGTTTGCTCAATGCACACTTCACAGGGCTCTTGGTTTCCTTTGGATGGGGTGGGGCTCAGCAAGGTGTGGGGGGGCTAAGTTATTTGCCATCCAATCACAGCTGAGTTGCCGCCCCCAGCTTGTTCATTAGAATGTAAAAGGCTGGATTCTCCTTGGCAAAGGGCTGGAGATAGGCCCCCAGGTTAGGGAAGGCCCAGGTGGGAGAGAGGGGGGGAGAGAGAGAGAGAGAGAGAGAGAGAGAGAGAGGGGCAGCAGCTTTTCTAACCTCTCCCATGATGAGTGTAGTAGGAATTGTGGGATTTACAGGCACTGCCAGCCACTAGAGCTCAGGGGAAAGTTATGTGCTGTCTTTTTCGGCCCTCTCCCTTTGCAGGAGCCACCAAAACACCCACCCCCTTACTAGGCTCAGGGCTTCCTGGCAGGGCCCTTAACACAGATGTGTGGTTTTATAGCCTACCCCAGCTCAGTGATCAGAGCTGCAGCTGAGTAGTAGTGACTGAGCAGCATGACAACCTGTAATAAAAAATAAAAGGGGCTGATAAAAACCAAGGAGCCTGGTATTGTCCCATTGCAAGGCACTCCTTCAGGGTCCCCTCACTAAAACATCAGAGGAAAAGACAAACTATTTGAGGAGTTTCTTAAGGTTCTGTCCTGTGACACTAAAAAAAATGTACCAAGTGAAACCAGGCTGTGTGTGGAGGCACGTTTGGGTGCTAGCAGGGAGATAAGTAGGTGCCAAGATGAACTCTACACTCCTACTCAGAGCTGCAGATGGAGGAATCAGCTGGCAGAGGCATGTCCGCAGATTATTATTGCACCAGCCATGTCATCACTTACTTAATAGCCTGACTGACACTATCTCAGTGCCTCGAGTGAGAGTAACTCCGATGACGTAGAGCTACTCACCGGGGTGGGGAATCTCTGGCCCGTGTTCCCTGTAAACTGTGTGCTTAGGCGGCCACCCAGAAGTGATTCAAATGCTGCCTAGCTGACTGGCAGCACACCAAAGCCGGCAGCATGTGTTGCTACTGGACATGCCTCAGTGCACATACAAATTATTCTGCACATGGATGGAAAAAATTAAAGGGGGACTGTTGCCTCTGGCCTGTGGGCCTGACAGAACTCATCAGGGTTAGCCGCTGGCAGGCAGCCATAGCGTTTGTTAACCCAAGTGTCCGCAGGCACCAAGCCCCCGGGCCAGAGGTTCCCTGCCCCTGCCTATGCCAACAGGGCACTCTCCATTGGGCTAGTAAAACCATCTCCGCAAGAGGCTTTTCCACCAACATAGCACTATCCACACTGGTGCTTAGATCAATGTAACTTTGCATCTCAGGAGGTGTGGGGGTGGCTTATTCACCCCTCAAGTAAGGTAAGTGGCAGGGTGTACAAGCCTTTGTTTGCTTGAGCAGTTACAAATCAAACTAATTATGTGTGGGTGGAATATTGGAATCATGCTCATAAGAAGGGGATCCTCATCCCTTACTATTATATAAATCCAGCATGGAGTTTAGTCCTAGATTCTTCCTTCGCTCTCTTCTCTAGCCCCACAGGTTATAGGTCAAAGACTAAATGAGGTATAGTGATAACAGGGCCTTGCTAAAAAAAATTAAGTCACACAGGGAATGTTAGCCACAGCAGCACAACTGTTACTTTTACACATAATCGGGAACACCTATTTCTGGGTGTTTGTCAAATTTCTCCTCCTGCGGGATATGCAACAACAAGGGTGTGAAGCAATGATAAAGCAGAGCTAGACGCCAGACCTGCCGGATATAGTTACAAAGGTTGGTGTCCTTTATTTACACATGTATGTAAACAACAGAAAGTAAACAATACCACCCAATGTGGTGTAGCAAGTAGGTTGCTGCAGTTTTACTTCAGGAACTGAAGTGTTTCACACATTTCACAGAAATTGCACTGACACACACACACGCACACACACACACACACACACACACACACACACACACACACACACACACACACACACACACACACACACACTTTAGTTTAGCACCAGCAGAAGGTCATTGCACCATTACAGTCCACAGCACATTAACAGTGAAATAAGCACAGGAAAAATATTAAGAGCTTGTTAGGGACTAGATATGGCATAGTCTCAAATTACTACTACTTTTTCTATCCAAGGAACTTAAAGCACTGTAAAAACAATTAATTTAGCTTCACTAAACCCCTTTGAGACTGGCTAAAATTTCCATTTTGTGGATCGGGAAAACTAAAGATCCTGAGAAGTTAAGTGATTTTTGCCTTAGGTCTCTCGTCTGTTACCGAAACTCTGATCTACAGGCTGGTTCTCAGCTCTGTGTCTTCTCTAGATTATGCTTCCTCTCAACAAGAGAGAAACTTCCTGCACAACGCAGTGCAGGTATAGCACCCAAACGAGAATCCAGGATGATCTTCCTGGAAACAACCCTCTCCCACCTTTTTAAAAACAAACTTTGCTGATGTGAGTGCCGTCAATTTTAAATGCCAATAGCAAACCATATGCACATTAGATTGTATGGTCTGCAAATACTTCAGACAGAAGGGGTAAAACTCTAAAAGAAAAATAACCCAAGAATTCAAAGTTCAAAACTTATTCTGCTTGTAAACTGTCCTAGTCCACAGACCCTTATTGAAAAGTTACATTCATAGATGTAGATTTTGTAAAGTCCAAAAAAAAATGTTCATGTTCACTACAATAAAAGACACTGCTTGAACCAAGATGGTTTTAAATCTTTTCTACTTGTCTTTAACATGAACAGTAGCATGGAAAGACTCATCTTGCATCTTAATATCAAATTAAATCCTAGCATGTAAAGACTGTTACTGAAAAAAAGTAGCTTAGTTTTGTTTGAGCATCACACTAAATTGATCACCCACAAGTACCGTAGTTTTATTTCTTCCACTCTTCCAAGAATAAAACTGTTGGAAATAAGCATTTCTATAATCATGGAAAAAGAAGTGAACCACCATAGCTATAGGAGAATACAGGTTAAAACTGCTAATACAAAAGATAAAGTTCGTATGAGCATAAAACTTTTTTGTACAGGAGCTTCTCCAACAGCTGTTTTTCCTACCATTTAAATACATAAAACAAAACAGACTAAAGAAAACTCAATTATTTTCTTAAATAGAAACTATGTACAAATTGCACATATAACAAATCAGTGACAGAAAGAGTTTTCACTGATCCTTCTGCTTCTCTTGCTACAGTCAGTGATTAATCAGTGTACTCTGGTCTTCAAGTGTCAGAACACAACAGAACTGAAACATCATGTGCTCAGACTGAGTTTGTCTTCTAGCTGCTGGAGCAGAATCCTTTTAAAGTAGGGCTCTATCAAATTCACGGTCCATTTACAGCCATAAGATTTTAAAAATAAATGTAATAATTTAACTCTGAAATGTCAGTGTTATAGCTGTAAGGTTCCTGACCCAAAAAGGAGCAGGGGTTTATCAGCATGTATGTGTGTGTATGGGCTGGGGAGAGGGGGGTTAGAATTGCTACCCTTACTTCAGCATTGCTGCTGGCATCCACACTGTCTTCAGAACTGTGCAGCAGGAAAGCAGTGGCTGCTGGCTGGGAGCCCAGCTCTGAAGACAGATGGCCTGGTATGTTATTGCCACCCTTACTTCTGCACTGCTGGCTGCAGAGTTTGGCCCTCAGTCTGCAGCCACCATTCTTTGGCTGCCCATTTCTGAAGGCAGCAGTGCAGAAGTAAGGGTGGTATGGTATAATATCACCACTCTTCCCTTCTGCACTGCTGCAGGCAGGGTGCTGCCTTCAGAACTGAGTGTCTGGCCAACAGGCACTGCTCTCTGGCAGCCCATTTCTGAAGGCAGCACAGAAGTAAGAATGACAATACTACAATCCCCTAAGAGAGTCCCGTGACTCCCTTGAAATACCCTTTTGTCAGAACCGCCAACGTGAGAAACGCTGGTCTTCCCCTTGAAATCTGTATTGCATAGGTTAAAACACACACAAAAGAACAGATTTCATGGTATGACATGCATTTTTCATGGCCATGAATTTGGTAGAGCCCTAACTATAATACATTCATTCCAGTAGCTATACAGTAACATTGTTCACTCCAGCAGCAAATATCTCAGCTCAGAAAGTCACAAGAGTGCTGTCATTGCTGTCTGATTTACTGGCTTTAGGCAGTCTCTGGGTGTTGAATAACCCTCATTCACCAGTGAATTAGTTTGTGGTTTCTGATAGTCAGTACTGTAGCCCACTGCGGTCAAAACACCATTAACCTTAGGTTTATCATAGTTTGTTAGACTCTGTGGCGTTTGATAGTTTCCATTCCTGACATGAGTCCTACATGAATTACTGAAACTGGCAGCAGAAAGGGAATGTTTATGAGCTGACGAAATCACAGGTACATTGTAGTCATTCTCTGAGGGAAAAGTGTTGTCTCTTCCTAGATGTCTCTCTATAATAGGGGTGGCATATTCAGGCTCTTGGTTGGTCAACGGCAGTGCATATTCATGATGGTTAGCTCTGTGTGGGCAGTGGTAGTGGTTCTCAATCTCTGAACTATCTTTCTTCTCCTCAGACTCTGTGTCCATTGGCCTGAATGTGGATCCTTTTCTTATCATCATCCCGGTTCCAATCATGAGAGGTTGCTGATAATCTAAAAAGAAGCATTAAAAGCTCAATAAATACAGAGACAGACTACTGGCTTGTTTGAATTGTATCATGTATAAGAGGCAGTTAAAAATGTTAAGTGACCCAGCTGCTGTATCAACAGGAATTCTCATTAGGAACATAAGAAAACTCAGTACCTGCCAAATTCCTTCATTCAGTGAATATATTATCATTTATCAGCAATAGCTACGGTTCTAGAGAAAGCATAAAAGTGCAGTTTCAGCAAGATATGATGCAAGTTCCCTTGCCAGACTAAAGTTGATAGGAATTTTTCACATGTGAGAAGTTCTGAGACACATCAGAGTAGTGGAGATGCCTGAAGGATGGTTAAACTCTTCCCATACTCCCAGTTCCTGCATTACTGATGAGGAATCTTATGCAGGTCAAATAACAAATAGGAGGAGAAAGCTGGATGGGACAAGTACCAAGATGGAAGGCACTAGAGTCAAATGGATCAAATTTAGTGTGTAATCAGCTTGGAGCTAGAAGTGAGAGGGAACAGCAAGGAAGGAAATTATTGGATAGGTCACCTAGATCTGGCAGGATAGGAAGAGGAGGATCAGGATTAGAGATGTTAGATAGCGATTTACTGAATAGTCATGTAAATACACAAATCTTGTTGGTTACATGCCTATTTGATAGTCCCCGGGGGCATGGCTGGCAGCCAGTGCACTTCTGGTTCCACTATCAGGGAAACCCCCACCACTCCGTGCTTCTGCCTCTGATACAGCAGCCCTGTCCATGGGAGTCCAAGCTCCCCATAGACAGAAGCTGTGCCGGCATCCCAGGGAGCAGCCTCTGTCCATGGAGGCCTCTCCTGCTGCTGCCTCTAATAGAGGCAGGAGCACGGGGGTGAGGGGACAGGGGAAGAAGAGGCAGCTCTGCGGAGCTGGTATGTGAGGAGAGCCAGCTTCCCGCATGTACTGGCTCCCGCCTGCCCCACTCACCTGCTGCACCGGTGCCTCTCTATCAGAGGCAGCAGTGATGGGGTGGAGAGGGTAGGGTGCTTTGCTGATCTGGGCTCCCGCTTCCCCCACCCTGCTGTCTCTGATACAGAAGCAGCTTGGGGGGTGGGAGGGAGGGAAGAGAAGAGAAGGGGGAGAGAAATGCTTGTAGTAGATATGATTAATTGATAAACGTAGGCTTATCGGTTAATCCTCTACTCGACTACATGGTGACATCCCTAATCGAAAGCAGCAAATGACCCACAGAGGAGTCAGAGATAAGATCAAAGGACTGCAGTGTCAACAGGGGTGTTTGCAACTCAAATCCAAGAAAGCCCCACCCAAAGAACTCCTGGGTGAAAATTATTTTTAAGACACTCAAGAAGAAAAAAATTGCAACATTTTCACTAGTCAGAAACTCAAGAGACTAAAATGTATCCCTTTTTCTTTGATGAGCTGACCTCCACAGCTTTGTTAAACAGCACCCACAGAGACTGCCAATGTTTTGGTATTGTCCTTGAGGTCAATTCAGTTTTTGTTTTGACTTTACACTTCAATTCAGACATGGGCTGAGTTCAGTCCTCTGTAATCCTAGTAAAATTCTCTGGCACTTCCTGTTGCACATCTCAAAATGAGCTGTAAGCTCTTTGGTCAGAAAACATCTTGTCTTTATCTGTACAGCGCTGAGACCATCGAATTGTTCTTTGAAACCTCTCCCACCATTAGTTCTATGGAACCCCTAACAGGATATGATGGAGTATCCTGATCCATTCCAGGATCTCTTTAGGGACTAGGGAGTACTAGAGATTTTAACGGTGAATTATAATATTAGGATTTTTAAAAAACATATTTCTAAATTAACTGCCCTCCAGAAATTGGTTGCAGAGCTGCTCTCAGCACACATTTCTAACTTTAACTCACTTTTTTCAGCTTTATCATCTGCCTTTAAGGCTAGTATACATAAAATTCCAAAGCTTCAAACATTGCCGCTATAAATTACCAGGGTTTAAAAATCCCACAGCTCGAGAGTTTGGAACCATCTATAAAGTAGTTGCCATTAAACAAAAAGTGTGGATCTGTGCAGGGTATCATCTCAAATAACCACAAGGACAAATAATCTTGATTCACCCTGCTCAGAAGACAATTTAAAAAAAAAATGTCATCAAAACATTTAGAAAGATCCTGTTACAACAAGCACTAGTCTAGTTTTTAAGATATATCCATGTAAGTGCCAGAGGGAATTCAAGTTAAATCCTGGTCACCATTTATTTTAGTTGGTCTTCACTGCATTTCTCTAATGATGGATATCAAAGGAGAACTGGAATTTTGGGATGCTGGGGACAGCAGATGAGTATGTTGACTGATCCCATACAATGGCTGGGCTCACTAACCTTTCCAGAAAGAGAACACAGGGGCAGGAATCCTATCTGAGATGCAAACAGGGACTGATGTCTGGAATTTGCTTTGTCCAATGAGTTGCAGCCAAGGTAACACAGCACGTTAACACATTGTTGTTTTACTTAACTACTTTCACTGGCCCTGATTTCCAAAGTGCTTCAGGCATTAAGGGAGGTGAACAGAGGTCTCAATATGCTCTCTAGTTGGGCATGCACCCACATCTCCAACCTCTGGGCAAATGGACTCTTCATTTGCATCACTCAACTCTGTTGCAGTAGTAAGACAATAAATACAAACATGACTAAAGAAAAATATAATCCTAATCAGCAAGCACAATCTATTCTAGTCAGGTTTTTGTATTGTGTCTGTCTCGGAGAGTCTCACAAGGAGAAAACAAACCTCTCACCACAATGGAGGAAAGTTAAAAAAAGATTTCTTAATTATCCATTTTCCCAGTATATTCCCTCATTTCACTAATTCAATGCACAAGGGTAGGTTGCTCAGTCAGTATTTGCCCACCTCCCCTGTGTTATGTACCACAGTACATAACACAGGGAAGAAGAAAGTGAATGCATCTCAAAGGCTGCAACAGTTACCTGCCATGTCACTTGTGACCAGATCCAGCTTTTGCGGCGTTTCCTTCTCATTATTATAGCTGATGGTAAATTCTGTTGACTGATGTCTGACAAAGGGCTGCTTGATATGTTTCCAACAACCTAGAAGAAATAATGAAAGCAGAATACACTAAGGGCTTATCCACATGAACACTTGGTTCATGGCAAGCTGGGGTATAAATCTACCCTGCACTAGCCTGCTATGCACTAAGCTTCTGTGTAGACCTGCTATTGTGAACTAAGTAGCACAATGAATTACATTGCTTTGAAACAGGAATAAATTAAAGCGCACTAGAGAAATTTTAGTACATGGCAGCAGACCCACGTGTGTAGGTTGCAATAAAACACCTGCAGCTGACTAAGGTTTGGGCCTGGGGTTATAAACTTGCAGTGTCAGGCCCGTATGCAGGAATTTCTCTGGGGTGTGTGCGCTTTTTTGGTAAACATGGACTGCAATTTTTAAAAATATAAATGAATTCAAAATAGTCATGCAATGAGAGTGCGTAAGGAAGGTTAATGAAAAATTTAAGTGGAAACAATGGTAAAATAATTGTGTTAGACTAAAAATGTATACAGTAATAAAGGGGTTATAGCAATTACCTTTTGGGATCTTGCTGTAATATCAGAAATGAAAAATATTCAAAAATATTCCAGCCTTTGTTGTAGTCAAATTACGGCTTGTCATTATTATACGCATAATTAACTATTTTATCTTGGTGCCATTAGTTGCCAATTTCGGATAATATGGCTTGTGTCTCCACGACAGTGTTTAGAGCTAATGATCCCACTCCAGAGCTTCAGTGTGAAAGTTGCATAAGCTCATTACTATTCATTTATTTTGTTTGCAAACAACCAATTGTAAACTACTAACCCACTTCATCTAGTTTCTCCAAATTGGGACCATAATCCGCACTGCCTGACATAGGATACAAGGTACTCTTTGATCTATTTTCTCTTCCTGAATATAGCTCTTTCCTATACTTGTTTCTCGTGAAAGGTAGACCACTTAAAATACAACCCTCGGACTCATGAAAGGAGGTTCATGTGGTGTTTCCAGTGATGTGCGCAAGATGGAAATATACAATTGGCATGTTTGATGTAGACATGTCCACTGGGAAGTGAATTGAGACTACTATCTCATTCCACAAGAGTGCATGACTGAACAACCATCAGATCATAATGACTTTTTGGCCATTTGATCTTGACTCCAGCTTAGGAATTAGACCATGAAACTCCATAGCTCAATGCTGGTTTTATCCCCATCAGTATTTTAAAATGAATATGCTGCAGCATTTCATAGTGAGAAGAATTCTGAAGGTCATCAAGACATATAAAAATATAAGGGAGAAACTTATAGTTTTCCTCATTAAAATGTCTGCTGCTCTGGTTACAAAGCTATTTTTTAAATCACTTGCTACAGTTAAGTTAGTATTGCTTTTCAAGTGTGAAAAGACTTCTACTAAGTAAGGGTGGGCCCTGGAAAAGTTTGGAGTGTAGCAGAACTTGTTTTCTTTACTGAAATTTGACCAAATTAAAATACACACTTGCATGCCTGGGGTGAAACATATCCAAAACAACTAGAAGAAAATGAAAAACTTGAAGAAAACATTTTGATTCAAATTTTGGGAAAAAAAAAACCAAACCACACATATACACCCCTTCAGAGTTCTTAGGTTCAAATCACCTTTTTCTTCCACACCTTCAGGTTTAGGGGCCAAACAGGTTTGGGCAGTGAGGGGGGCTGGGAGCTGGTGTGCAGCTTATCTGGGCTGTGAGGGAAAGGGAGATTGGAGCCAGCGTGCAACTCAGTTGGGCTGGGGAGGGTCTGGGAGCTGGCAGGCAGCTCAACTGGGTCAGCTTGGAGGATCATGGGGGGGGGAGGGTATTCACACCCTTCACACCCCCCTGCATACAGGCCTGAGTGTAGATGTTCAGCCTCAGGCTGGAGACTTTGCTCTTAGTCCCCCCTCCTCCCCTCACCCCATAAGTATTCTCCTTTGGCACCTGCTGAGAAAGGGGTATTCTGCATTGCTCTGTTTCAAGGTTTCTTTGGAGACAAGTTGAGGGGAAGTGAATTTCTTTTGCTTTCTTCTCTTTCAGATGGACATTTTGCCATCTCATTGTCAGAGGAAGAGTGCGCTCCACTGGAGAGGAACTAAATAGCAGTTGAACTCAGGATTTCCTAGCCTAACTGAAACCTGCCCTCCCCAACCTAGTCACCTAACACAAAAGATGTTACTTCAAAAGGTTTTCTGCAGACATCTTCCAAAAGCAAAATCCTCTCACCAATGTTCTCTTCAGATATGATGAATGAAACACAATTCAATACTGTTGGGCTTTTTTAGGAATTAGGAACTAAATAGCAGTTGAACTCAGGATTTCCTAGCCTAACTGAAACCTGCCCTCCCCAACCTAGTCACCTAACACAAAAGATGTTACTTCAAAAGGTTTTCTGCAGACATCTTCCAAAAGCAAAATCCTCTCACCAATGTTCTCTTCAGATATGATGAATGAAACACAATTCAATACTGTTGGGCTTTTTTAGGAATTAGGAG